ATCCACGATGTTCGAGCAGCAGCAGCAGCATGCTACAGTAGGTACTTGTGTGAGCGTGCTTGCCCATCCCGCTGTGGATCCACTCGACCAAAAAAAAGCCGCTCTCTGTCATGCAAGCACACGACCCACCGCCGCCGATCTCACCTCCACATCTCCCGAGGTAGATTTTCATTGTCGACCTCGCCCTCCTCCTCCTCCACCTCCCACTTCGGGAGCCGCCTGAGTAGCAGCAGCGGATGAACTGTAGTCTACAGTGCTAGAGTTCCTTGGGGCCATTCTGGCGAGGATTTGAAAATAGTGGAAGGTGGCGTTACGTTCGTTCCACATTTATTTGGGGGGGGGAAAGAGGGAAACATCGACACCCCCCCACACGGACCTGTGGCACAGCAGCACCGAGACACCGAGACACAACAGTAGCAGGAAGGAGGCGGGCGAGAGGGTAGCGAGTGAACCTGGAAGACACAAGACTGGGAGTGATCCACCACCACCTTCAGGACGGCTCCTGACTCGCGCTCGCCAAGCTCTCGCAACAGCAGGGGAAAAAGGTGGGTGGATGCGGCAGGTGTGTGTGTGGGTATTGTGCGGCGGTGGAGGACAACGGATCCAGTCAAGTACATGGGTTCCCTTGACAGCGCCGTATGCGCGAAGAAAGCCGCGCCCCTGTGCACAGCAGTAGCGTGGACGGAGAAAGCTCGTGGTGAGGTGATTGGAGAGAGGACCAATCTTGTTGATTCGATCGCTAGAATGGTAGACTACATCAGCAGTGTTACTGTAGACTATAGTACACACACACACCACCCTCTCTTCTCTGGAAGACCTTGCGTATTTTCTCGTCTACCAGATGAGGAAGTGAGAGCCTGATCGGTCCTCAAGGCATGCTCTTGCTACTCCTAGCGTGGAATAGTCATAGTTCCGGCATGGATGTGTGCCTTGGCGTGGTTTATCCCCCCCAGCTTTCAATGACGGCTTGGAGTAGAGAGGCTGGAGCGCACAGCACCCGTCGGCGAAAGAGCTGCTGAGGAGGTACATAAAACATGGTTGTTTTCCAGGCTCTCTCAAACGAAGAGTGGGAAGGAATGCCAGTCTACAGATAAGAAGATGCTGGAGAGAACATCATTGAATACGAGTGATCCCACGTGCGTGTGGCACACACTGCTGCTGTACCGATTTACCGCCGAATTATGTATGTATGTTGCCAGAGGAAGAGTAGAAACACCGGTAGATCTCACGACACTGCTGTGAATGTCATCGCTACAATTCATCCTACGAAGACCTTCTCTCAAAATATTGACAACAGATTAATGAACTTTGCATGCATACATGATACACTGCTCAGTCCGAATTTCGCATTTCGTACACCAGTGTTTTGTTTCGCAGCAGATGTACTGTAGGTCTACAATAAATAGCTTACCCGTTCGGGGCAATCAACGCCCCAATCAAACAGATGTGTTCAAGTATGCACTACAAGTGCTGAGAAAAACCTGCTGGGTCTCGAAGTACTTACGTATGTAGTTGGGTCTGTTTGAGCCGATACAAAGGAAGATCGGTGACGCCAGCCGGCACAAAAAACATCCCCTGCCGGAAGCTGTTGGGTTAACGAAGTAACACGTCCTTGTTTGTTTTTAACCCTTACGTGACTGGGTAAATTTGAATTTTTGGTTTTTTCTCCACAACTGGCTCTCTGCGGTTAAAGATCTTCAATTCATGCGTGTACACCCACAAATCACGGCGGCAAGGATGGTTCAGCAGTGAGTCCATGTGTGGGGCTCACAAGGATGGGGGCGCGAGTATATGTAAGGGTCACGCACAGGAGTACTACACTGCTGTACAGCAGTATCTCGTGTTCTATATATACTCACAGGATGGTCGTCGTGTCGTGACACATTTCTTACTATTAGTACAATTTTATGGGGAAAAAATATACTTCCAAGTGTATAACTGGATCGGCTCGATGTTTTTGGGGGGTACAGCACTGTGGACCAGACATCGACCAAGAACGTTTGCCTACCGCGACGACCATGGGTGGACGGGATAACCCCTACGACGGCGAAGCATACTTCAATGCGATGCTAACAACCGTGCGCGTGTGGTGCACTTGTCACATGATGCTGCCAACCAACAGATGCACGTATACGTGTCGCCATATTGTGGTCGCCGCGCAAAGAAATGCCTTGGGAAGATCTCCTACCTGGCACTACTACAAGGAAACCGAAACGTAACGATGGACACGGCAATACGCACTCCATTGCCGTGACAGAGTTACTCCTATGCTCGAGTCAAAGCGGAACACCTCCTGTCGACAAACGTTGCGGCACGCTGCGGCAGTGTTCACGACTATTTGGGTGATGTCTTACACCTATTTCGAGTGCTACTATGGATCGTGCAGAACGTCGCGATATCTCTTTATGTGTACACTACCCAGGGCTATGCAAGTACGTGAGTGCCCCCGCGTAGCTCCACGTATATATGTGCTTCCTGACTTCTCAATCCATATCGCTGGGCGTGAAGTGATCTTGGTGCGGCCCAGTACCGCCTACGCGTTTGGATTATGTCGTACACCTTTGTCGTGTGTCGCTGTGGATCTTCCAGACCGTAGCGCCATCTCTTTGTGTCCATCAGCAGTTTCACATATTTTGACTTCCTCTTCATTCATGCATATCGCCGGCATCAACGTTTCTTGGAGCTGCCCAGTACGACCTGCTGCTCTGCGCGTAACAGTACGAGGCAGTATCAGGAGCTACCTGCTGCTAACTGCTGCTGTCGACTATGCTGCACTGCACGGCGTCTCTTCTTGGTTTCCAGCCGTCCAAACTTGAAGTACCACCAGTCGCAATTTCGGAGTTTTCAAAAACCAGTTTTGATTCATCATGTTGATGGCCTTTTTTATCATCCCGTGGATCGAAGTCCGCTGGATCTTGAGGAACTTGATAAATTGCTTTGCTTTGATGGGATTAGACCTATGATCCTTTTTGGAACAGTTGCTGCTGGTTGGCCGGACCACTGCTCGGCTCTTTCTTTTACGTCTATATGCTTTATCGACTAATGGAGTACGGCCGTCTTCTTTCTTCTTCTTGTTCTTCACTTCTTCCCACACCCTCACCGCCATCCGTCTGGTTGTGGCCGCCCACCCCATTGGGGGGCGGGGGGCCAATTGTTCCCCCTAGTAGTAGTTATGCGGAGAAAAAGAAATTTGCAGCAGCAATATTTCTAAGCAGGTGTGGATGCCTGTCTCCGACAGCAGCCATCCGCACAGAGGATGTACCTGTCCAAGCAAATACCTGTTGGCACATCTTCTCCGCCTCATCCTCGGACAGAGCATACGGCAAAAGGCGCGCATATGCTAGCAGCGCTAGATGCGAAGACGCTGACGGGAAACCGCCTCACAGAAGCGCCCAGGATCGATGAAAAAAGTAATGACCCACTCAGAGAACCGAGACCATCACCCACTATCGCACATAATGCACACAAAAAATCGATACATCTTACAATTCTGTACTAAAAATAGATGACAGTGATCGGAGGTGTGATCGGAGGTGTATTCGTGAAGACCCTTTGCCTTTGAGCGAAAAGTTGCACACAGCAGACGAACCTCCTTGACGCCCATTACTGGGAACCACACGCACCGCAATCACAACAAACATCAAGCACCGAGCCAGTACATTCGCATCGGCTCCGGTGTGCGTTTTCTCTACTCTCCCCCGCGGATGCGGCACCGGGTCGATCACATGTTGAGGGTGCTGTATGTACCCTCCGGTGGTATTTTGCGTTTGAATCTTACAGTAGTACCGGTAGGCAGTAGATTGGATCTGGGAAGGATATCTGCCCCATATCAGAGAGATTGGGCATGCATGGTGAATAGTATCGTACTGTGTGTCCTGTGCGCATTGGTGGTACGCGTGCTTCTGGGGTGTGCTGCCTCTGTGTCTCACTGCTTATCTCTATGTATGTTCTTCGCTCTTAAGCGAGGCCCAACGGCGATCTTTCGGCACGCAAAGTGATCGGAGCTGAGAACGGAGCTAAATCGGCCTAGAGTCACATAAGGGTTAAGACAGCAAGCCTTCCTTGTTCCCCGCACTCTACCGACTTCTTTATCAGTTTTCTTGTTTAAATTAGTACAGTGATAACGCCGGTATGTGCCCGGCGCATCGACCGGCGCTATTCAGGGCGACTGGCGCTATTGGAATAGTGCCTCACTAGCGCCACAACCGGCGCTATTGAAGACTCAGAAACCCTCAATATCGCCGGTTGTGACACTATTGAGGGATTGTGGTCATGTGGCGCAGCGATTGCGCTTTACTGAGCCAACAGATTCACCAATTGAATGGGAACGATTGAGTGGTGAAGTGGGCGGACTGCAAAGGATAAATTATGTTCCGGGACTGCCAAATTTGTTGTGTTTTGTAACTGATCGTCTAGAAAGACGGCAGCATACTGATCCTCCTGCATCACAAATAGGCGCGGTGCAACCGGACGCGTTGCTGTTACAGGAAGGACACCGCGACAGCGGAATGACGACACAACTGCACCCAATGCACCATTGAAAGGAAAAGTTATTTGTAAAGAATCGTACAGCAGAAAAGAAAACATGTGGACGAGAAACGTGCAACCGCAATCAATCGCCCCTCATCCATGTAGCGAGAAAGAACAAGAAACGACCGCGAAAGAAGCGCCACATGTAGAAAATCAGACACCAAGCCCGCGATTCCGAGAAGAAGCAGCACAGAATAACGGCTTTTACTTCACCCCCGAGTTTTCTCTCCTCCTCATTCCGCTTCAATAACTTCCGTCGCAACAAACTCCCTCAAGTTTCCTCAGGGCAGGTGCGTGGTATGTGTTTGTGTGTGTGTCAACAATACGAAAAACGCGCTATTGCCGGGTGTAGCGGAGCCCAACCCGGCGCTATTGCGGGCGTCCCTCAATAGCGCCAGAAGCCCAAACCGGCGCTATTGCGGGCGTTCCTCAATAACGCCAGTCTGGCGCTATTGAGGGCTCTGGCTGTGCCCTGAAATTTCACCGCCGCAAAAGAGCCCCCCCCCTATCACAATTTCATCTTATACTACTATTCCTATATTGCTTGTTTGCTTGTTTAGGTTTTGACCAGGAAACCTTAAGAATGGTGTGCTTTCATTGTACTTGGAAGCGTTGAATTGAAAAAGAATGGTCTTCGGCAGGACATGTCCATAGGCGAATGCCCAATTTTCCATTCCATGTTGTAAGCTTACGAGTACATCTATTTAGCATCTTACAGTCCCCCTACTCGTATGTACCGACGAAGTGATACGACCAGTTGATTGGAAGCCACCTTACACGCGTATTATTCTTTCTCCCGAGACAAAACGAGATGTACCTGCAAATGTCCAGGCGCTCTCAAACATTTTTCTATTAAAGAAGGATTTGTTATGGTCCATCGTTCTCTCTCGATTCTATTACACACCGAAATTGTATTCGCAATACACCGAGCTGCCCGCCTGAGGCGAATTTCTTTGAACTTGATAGTTGTCGCGAGTACACACCACAAAAGAGGAAAGACTGCTGAACGAATGAATCTTTCTTGCGTCAAACACTGTAGGCAAGCATCGCAGGAGGAAAGATGGACAGGTGAGACATTTCCTCCCTTGCGGCCCCGGTTGGTGCATCGAGCTTATACCGAACGGTGTAGACCAGAATAGACGGGAAGGGAACAACACCAGCATAAACCCCTTCCAAAAGGCCAACCTCGAGTACGCTTTCGTTAGTCTACGGGCACTAACTAAATGCTCAGGCACGTTGTTTCACTTAAGTGTTCTACCCACTAAACGAGTAGACCCGCCCCCCCCTGATGACATGCCACCACCTGCTAGATGAAGGGTGCGGCGACAAAGACACCGCGAGTTTCTCAGGAGCTGGAGGACGTCATGCAAGCCATCCGAGAACTCAACATCGACAGAGGGTCCGACCTATGGGAAACATTCAGGCAAGGAATGTTTGCTGCAGGCTCACCTCGCCACACCTCGCCACCCCTGCCGTTACATCTCTCTTGCTGTTGCTCCAGGAGGCCACCATCACTCCTACAGCGGCCGAAGAGGAAGTCATCTGCCTTCACCCGCAGCTGGCTGGGTAAGTTTGCTGCTGTTCGAGTGGCCCTTGGAAACGTGTGGCTCCCCCTCCCGACTGAGACGCGCGTTCTTGCACCATGGCCAATACTTTGCCCTCTGCCCCACCCACCAAAAGCCTAACATCTCTTCTTCCCCGTGCTTGCTGATCTGACCTTGCCCCGTGGAATTCAATGTCGTTACACACGTTGTGTGAGGCCGACTTCCACTAGGACTTCCCCGAGGAGCATGCACACGAATCTGTCGAGAGTTGTACGTAATTTTCAGCTTTCCTATGTTGTGGGGGTGTTGGGGGATATTTCCCCTACCTTGAACTGAAGTACGGCGTAAAGGGGGGCCACCATACGATATGCTTGAAAGGAAAGCCCTGATCCCATGTGCAATACTACCCTTGTAGGGGCCCACACACAAGCACTTCCCAACGTCCCCCTTGAGCCCAACGGCCCCCATGCGCTCTGCCGAGAATCTCATCTCAAGAAACGATCTTCGTGGGATTGTCTCTTCGGGCGTGTTGATGTTGTGCATCAATATTGCCTGGGGAATCGTGTTTCGATTTCCGCTTTGAGAGCAGCAGACCACGCATGGGTCGCCTTTGTGGGCTGGTCGAAGAACCAGTAGTCTTGTTGCGCCTGCCTTTCAGCTCCGCTTCTTTCCACCAAGACTGCTTCTGCCAAACATGTGGCGCTTCTATCAGAGACAAGGCACCTTATTCAGGATAGAGAGAGACGAGGGCGGCACTTGTGGCACGAACCTAAAGCCCAAGTTCAACTAGTGCGTGTGCCGCTGCCTCAGTTGTAGCATCTTAGAGATTATCGAGTCGCCAGACCACTCCCTTGCACGAACGCCTGGTGTGTAAGGGCACGTAGTAGTCATGTTTTGCACACCGTAGTGGTTAGACCATTGGCTGTAACGGGGCGCGGTATATGGTTTGTAGAGTATCCCAACAACGAGTTGTCTGGCAAAGTGTCGGCCCGTCCGTGTAGCGACGGGTTTTAAGGACAGGGCATGCTATGTATCTCGTAGCTAAGTATGATGTGCGTGGTCAATCTCGCTATATCTCTGTGCAGCAGTTGTATTGTGTACCCGGCTTCCATGTGTATCTTCAGGGCGTGAAGTAGAGTTGAACTTGTCGGCGGGAGTCCAGACGGGACTCCCTCTCCAGCTTCGTATGGCGTTGGGGATAGCTCGATGTTGGATTATTTTCGACGCAGTGGCATCCCTGTAGTGCGTGATGTGTCCGTTTCACCTTCTAAACCGGAGCGATGGGCTCTAGGCTACGGTCTAGTTCGATGAACGTTGGTGCCCTTTCGTGTGCCCTCGGACGTGTTGTTCAGGAGATAGTTTGCCGTCGCGAGTCGTAATCCTGGCCGTATTTTTCCATATTTTGCACTCATATTTCCTGTCTGCCTTGTACTACAGCTACCTTCCTTCTTTCCTTCCTACATGTTTCGAAGTATGTAAGACTTCCCGAAGTATACGTAGATGAATACTGTTGAGAGCAGATGGTACATGTTTTGAGGTGGACCTGTTGGGGTGATGCAGGGTATTCATTTTTCCTTGTTCGTTATGCCTTTGACCTATGTACGATAGGACTCCAGAAGCCGTTTATTGGTGCATATGTTGAGATTTCCAGTTTGCCTTGTAGTTGCTGCCTAGTCTTAATCTCCCACCGTGGTACGTAATTTTCATCTTGCCTATCTTGTGGGGGTGTTGGGGGATATTTCCCCTACCTTGAACTGAAGTACGGCGTAAAGGGGGGCCACCATACGATATGCTTGAAAGGAAAGCCCTGATCCCATGTGCAATACTACCCTTGTAGGGGCCCACACACAAGCACTTCCCCATGTCCCCCTTGAGCCCAACGGCCCCCATGCGCTCTGCCGAGAATCTCATCTCAAGAAACGATCTTCGTGGGATTGTCTCTTCGGGCGTGTTGATGTTGTGCATCAATATTGCCTGGGGAATCGTGTTTCGATTTCCGCTTTGAGAGCAGCAGACCACGCATGGGTCGCCTTTGTGGGCTGGTCGAAGAACGAGTAGTCTTGTTGCGCCTGCCTTTCAGCTCCGCTTCTTTCCACCAAGACTGCTTCTGCCAAACATGTGGCGCTTCTATCAGAGACAAGGCACCTTATTCAGGATAGAGAGAGACGAGGGCGGCACTTGTGGCACGAACCTAAAGCCCAAGTTCAACTAGTGCGTGTGCCGCTGCCTCAGTTGTAGCATCTTAGAGATTATCGAGTCGCCCAGACCACTCCCTTGCACTAACGCCTGGTGTGTAAGGGCACGTAGTAGTCATGTTTTGCACACCGTAGTGGTTAGACCATTGGCTGTAAGGGGGCGCGGTATATGGTTTGTGGAGTATCCCAACAACGAGTTGTCTGGCAAAGTGTCGGCCCGTCCGTGTAGCGACGGGTTTTTAAGGACAGGGCATGCTATGTATCTCGTAAGTATGATGTGCGTGGTCAATCTTGTTACATCTCTGTGCAGCAGTTGTATTGTGTACCCGGCTCCCATATGTACCTTCAGGGCGTGGAGTAGAGTTGGGCTTGTCGGCGGGAGTCCAGACGGGACTCCCTCTCCAGCTTCGTATGGCGTTGAGGATAGCTCGATGTTGGATTATTTTCGACGCAGTGGCATCCCTGTAGTGCGTGATGTGTCCGTTTCACCTTCTAAACCGGAGCGATGGGCTCTAGGCTACGGTCTAGGACGATGAACGTCGTCCTCGGTCGGAAATTGTTTTTCTTGTTTGTTGGTCTGTTTTTCAGGAGTTGGTTGCCTTCGCCGGTCGTGGGGCTTCATTCGGCCGTGTTTTTCAGTGGTTCACGCATTGCTTGGATGTGGTTCGACCCTCACCACGGAAATGAAATCCTTGGCCTCGGAGCAGTGTTGGAAATTGTAGATCACGGGTCATGGGGGCCAATGCCTTTTTCGATATGAGACTCGCAAGTGGCGATGTGCTCACACGATCCGATCAAGAAACCTCGATCATCAGAAGGTTTGAATGTATGTAATACAGGTCTGCATTGCTTGTTTTCTTGTTTTGTCGGCGTCAAAGCAGATTTTGTCGCAGGTCTGGCGCATCGAAATAGACAACATAAACAAGCCTCCCTCGTTCGCTGTCGCCCGCTGATATCCTTGTTCAGGGCGATGTTAGTGCTGCCTGCCGTTCTTTGCGGCCTTGCAGTTTCTCGACTCATATTGATCGAACGTAGTCGGCGCCAATATTTCTGATGCTGATCATATGGAATCTGTCAGGTTGACGCTGCTCCTCAGTCATTATTGTTCGTGCATGTATGCAATGGGGCTGTACCCGGTCCTCTCTTTCCTGCTAACTAGGTGCAGGGTCGTGTTTCGATCTAGCTACGTGTTTTTCCTCTCGCCGTAACGAAGCTGGCACCCTCTCACTGTCCTTCCCGATTGTTGTCGCCTCGTTCAACATGAGACGAACTGTTAGTGAAGCCTTTTCATGGCAGTGATGATCCCGTACAGTTCATGACGCCAACCCTAGTGATGCTGCCGATGCTGCTTATACTGCCGATGCGATTGATGTCGATGTCGATGCCGATGCTGATAGTCGTGACGACGATGACGATGCTGCTCGGAAGGAGCCAGCAACTGGTACACACCGTACCTGTTGCTGACCTTGCAGTGTTGTGTTGTTCCTGTTTTGCCCCCTTTGCCATGCTATCTTACCCGCAGGGACATCTCCAAACAAGAAACGAGATCCTTGGGCCCGAAGGGCTACAAGATTTCTGCCATTTCCGGGGCAGAGCTTGGAGTTCTTCCGGCCAGGTGAGTACTATAAGTATATAGTCCAGAGAAACGGGTTCATTCATCGACTGACTCCCGACAACGTGTACAATGCTTGAGCTGTTGATCAACAAACAGCTCTTCATGTTCCGCTCAGCTGTTTCGCTGGAGCTTGAGCTGATGGCTAGCTCCCGCCGTCGACGTTTCATCTCGCCGTTGCCATTGGCCGCATCCTTCTCGTTGATGCCGCCGTTACTCGCGAACTGCAGCGCCAAGAAGGCGCACGATGTTCAAGCCGACGTGTGGCTAGTCGGCAGCCGCCAAGAGGCGGCCAACGGGTACGTCACGGGTTTTGCTTCCTTTCGCGATCGCCTGACATCATGCATGTGGTGTGTTTTTTTGTCATGGACGCCCGTGTACGCGCCGCTCTTTAGTCTCCCTGTATAGAGAGTTCGTAAGCCGCGGTCCCGCCGCAGTTGCAGCGCAAAGGCTGGGTACTTTGTTGATACGTGCTGTTACCATTTGAATACCTCGGCATAGTCTACAAGTCACGGGTCGATTATCTGATCTGACTTCACCTTCCTCAGATTCGAAGGCGTCGACGACGCCACAAAGAAGCTGACGACAGCGACCCAAGGCAACGACAACTCATCTGCGAAAGTAAGTGACATCGGGCTGACGCGGTACACACGGAGGTGTGACTGCATACTGCTAACTGCCGTGTGCACATGTTTGCTGTGATACGGCAAGATCTCCGGAATGAATTAGCTGCGGTCAGGCCACTACCAGACAAACACACAAGGTACGGCTCTCGCACTTGGCCCCGTATTTTCCTTCTACAGTAATAAACCTGTCCCCAACCCGTTCAAATGTTGCCGTTGCCTCCTGTGGGCTGGCATCAGGAGAGGAAGAGAATGCTGTTCGGCTCGACCCCGGTCTAGACCAGGCCGTGCCGCACGCGTTGAGTCTCCGGTGTACGAATTCCTTGTCAAGGGCAAATCCTAAAGTGCGCTTTCGGGAGGCTGTCGATGCTTGCTGAAGATCGCTGTTTCATTTGGGTGTTCACCTTCCAAACCAGCAGTAAGAAGCCCTCTTTCCCCATGACATGCCACCGCTTGCCCGATGCAGATCGCTGAGGAGGCAGATTTGGCGGGAGTGGTGAAGAGGTTGACCAACCTCTCCTTCGAGGAGACAGAAAAGTGAGGGAGTTTGATACAGGCGTAACCCCCCCCCCCCCGGCGTTCCATCTCTCTTGCCGTTGTTTTAGAAGGCCACCAGTACTCCTGCGGAGGCCGGCGAGGAAGTCATCTGCCTTCACCCGGAGCTGGTTGATTTCATTTTCTGGTGTACGTGCTGGCCCACGCAACCCCTGTCTCCCCTCGATTGACAAACACGATCTCGTGTCATGGCCACTATTCTGCCCTCCATCCTACCCACCACATCAACAACATGTGACTTCCCCGTACATAAACGCTGTTCTGACCTTGCAGAGCTCGTGGCATTGGATGTCGTTTTCATTGCTGGGTTGTCAGTTCTCGCGTCTTTCGTTGTTGCCCACAGACCCACCCAGAAAGAAATGTAAGGAGACAAAGGCAACGGCAGTTGGCGCCCAAGGCATTCTCCCACTCGCGCAATGTCAACGGAACCCAACACACACTTGTCTAGATGCAGAGAAAACATGCCGGCTGGCGCAAAGAGCGGAACAGGAAGACAGTCCTTCCCTCAGAAATGGAGGTGTTTCCTACGACAAGATGTACCCGATCACGCTCGTCTCCCCGTTTTGCTTCGCGTAGATATGGAGGAAATGGAGAGGGATACAGATATTTTCCGATAGTTGGTGCGCCCGCCGTCCCACCTGTTCACCCTTGTTCAAGGGCGATGTCGATGCTGTCTATCTGGCGCTGTAGAATATCCGCTCAGTCTTAAGCGAATGAAGTTCGATGCCAGTGTTTCTGGTGATGATCTTACATATTCAATATTTATTTAGGGTTACCTGAAATCAGGTTATCCCGCGCCTCTCTTCCTGCCAACTGGTAGGTTTTCGGTCGTCTTTCGACCTGACTAGGAGCTGTTCTGCCAACCTCTCAACGTAACGGAGCTGGTGCCCCCGTCTTGTGTTTCCCCGGTTGTTATCAGTAACTCGTTGATGATGAGATGAAACTGCAAGTAGGGATGACATTCACAGCCGTAGTGACCGGTCCTGTGCTGCCCATGATGCGTTTGGTACTATGCGCCTGATGCTGCCGACGTGATTCATGCCGATTCCGATGCCGACGCCAATGCCAATGCCGATGCCGATGGCGATGCTGATGCTGATCGGGCTGTTGACGGTGGCGGGAATGAGCCATCGTACCGGCACCTTTTTTCTGACTCTGCATAGCTGTGGTGCTCCGCTATCGCTGCCGAAACCTCAACATCAATCAACGATACGATACAGTAAACCTTGTGTATTTCCCATGTCTCGGTCTTGGTGATGAACAGGGGAAGCCAGCGTGAAGACGCCAGCGATGACGAGGATGCCGCCCTCACGGTAGCGGAAGTTGCCCAAGCAGCCGCCGCCCTGGCAGACGCGGTAGCTGCCGCCGTCGCCGAGGCCGGTACCGGCAGCGGTTCCCCTGCGGTCTGCCAGGTATAATCGATGAGTGGCGTGTTCCTGCGTTGGTCACGCCCAGCTACCACTGTCAAGCAGTTGTTCCGCGATGCACGTTTGAACCCTTACGTCAACTCTTGCAAGACGTGTCCCGCTTGAATGGCACAGTATCCCTGCCCACGGCTTGAACTCTCGTGTGAAGAATATCCCCACGCCCTACGTCGAATGGTGTATTCATGCCGTCTACACAATCTCTGGCATTGGCAAATGTTATTGCGGCGGTTAGTCGGGGAGAAATGCGGACTGGTCCGTTGGTGTCTCGATTGGTGCATGTTCTCAACGGAAACGAACTGCTGATGGTTGTAGCATCCGTAGCTACGGAGATACGGTTAACCCGATGCAAAGAGAGTGATACGCTGTTGTGGCGTTTGTGATTTAGGGACCCGTACCAACGAAGTTGGCTGATACAGGCAGCTATGGATGACATACCAGCGTAGAAAAGTGTACGCAGTACATGCTGCGGGTCCTACGCCAGGCTCCACCGCTTGGCTCTGAATATACCATGTCTCCAAACAACCTCTCCTCCACCCGTTTAACCAAATATTTCACATTGCTGTGGACTGGCATGAGGAGAGGAAGAGAGCGCCGTTCGGCTTGGCCCCGTGAGAATCAGACGACCACGGTTGCAACTATATTGTAGCGTGGGGGAGGTGAACTTCCTTCCGTGCGCAGAGCCTCACCTATTTTCATGAGGGATGGCTTCAACGTTCATCCGTACTTCAACTCCCCCAAGCCGTGAATCTAGCCGTCGTCGTCCGACTCTTGCGGGGCCCGTGCTCTGGGGCCAAACTGTTGCTCGTTCTTCTTCCCCCCCCCCATTTGCTTCAGGTTTTCGTGGTTTCTGTATCTCTATGACCTCGCCTCTCTAGATGAAGAGCCCCGATCCCGAACATAGCGCTCACAGCAACTGCATGAGCCGTACAGTAGGTTTTCTACTATTACATGTTGCTCAGTTCAGCTTCAGGTCACATGTTGGGCAAGTGAGTGGGGCATTCAAGAGGTGGGGAACTCCGTTCGTTCCAATGGGTATTTCGTCGTTGTCAAGGAAGCGCTTCTCCGAGAGCATGCAGCTACATGCACTAGAGAAGCATGAGACGTGACATCTTGCATCCCGCTACCTACTTCATACTCGTTTTACCCCACACTACCGAAAGGTTCAGTTCGGCAAGGTACGGGAACGTTTGCCCAACCAAGGGTATGGGAAATATCATCGAATCGGAAATGAAGCAGGGAAGATCAAAGAGTAGTCTGACAACGGGCTTCGCGAGAACGTCAACGCGAAATATCAGGAGCGGGTAAGGATCAGGCCCGTGGTGAATCTTAATCTTGCACCGTCCAACCCGCATTTTTGATGGCGCGCATTCTCCGACCTTCCCCTCCACACCCCCCACGCTCGATTTCTTGCACATGCCGGTACAAGAATGACCACGACTACGAGTGGCTGTGCGCCCAGGTAGGTGACATATGGGTCTGGATAGACTGCCTCATGCCTGGTACATACAGTTTGGCGAGGGAACCAAATGGCAATTCTTTGGCGGCCGTCGAGGTTGGCATCGTTCTCACTTCATGCAAAGTTTGGCGCCAACAAGATGCATTGTTCTGGCATTGGAGATATCTGTTCATCGTGAATGACCCATTCCGTATCTGCCCTGTATGCTTGTGCCCCTTGCTTGTGCAATGACGACTGGACTCGAAGCTCGACACCCCGTGCTGGCGGGCGTCCACGTTAGCGGATTTCACGACCGATGGCCGCTTGCCGGAAGTAAGTTTGGGCATGGGAGCAAAGAACCAGACGACTTGCGGATGTTGTTCAGCCCCATTCGCGCTGTTTCGTGTTGCCCAGATCGACTACCGCGGATGCTTTGTTTTGTGGTCAGATTGCGGCCGAACAGAGCCTTTTATCCTCTCCATATCCTACAGACTAACGAGGCCCTTTTACCCCCCGCCGGACCTTTGCCCACTGCGCTTTATCATCGAAAAGTGGGGAGTCTCCGAGGCGACGTGAACGCTGAAATGCGGCGCTCGACGCGGGCGGGAGGCGGCGGAGCAATCGGTGCCAGATGCGTCGATGGCAACGATGTACTCTCTGTTGGAAGAGGAGGACAAGGAGGTCAAGAAGTACAGCAGTGTAAATAGTCAAACGAATGTGGTGGATTTGTGAAAAGGTTCCGTTCTGTATTGACGCGGGAATGGCTTCTACGCTACCTAGACGGCCAGATCGTTGCCTCCTACGCCATACCACCGCAACGGCAACGCACTTGGCGCGCGATAACCGGCCGTGGTGTGACTGTGTTTATGTTTCCCGTTGATTGCCGCGGGTTTTTCGATTATGTACACTACTGTAAGACTGCCTGTCTTAAAACGGTTCGTTTTTTTTCGAGGTGAAACGTGCTTGCGAAAGTTCAAGTTATATACTTGGCTGTGGTGTAGAAGACGAGTGCGCTACGAAATGCTCTACATAGATTGTTTTTACCACGTCTTCCCCTGTGGTGCAGTCTACATGCGTGCGCTTCCAGCTCTTGGTTGCTGTATGCTCGTGTCATCCTGGCATTGGTTAGCTACAGCTGCGTGTTGCTGCTTCTGTTGTTCGCGTGGTCTGCTGTTGATACTATTTGTCATCGTTCGGTGTCGTTGTCGTCGTGGGCCAGGTTTTGCGACGGCCCTCGAGGACGATCACCAGAACGTAGTTGTGCGTGGTGTTCAATTATCTCGTCAGGTTCGATAGCAAGCTAACGCAACCGTGAAATAAGAAATAGGCGGGATGGGCGAGGAACTCTGACAGAAAATAATGTGATAAGCGTGGAATGGAGCTCGGTCGAGGTGCAACGAACGGTATTTCCGAGAAGGAGGTCAAGGAGGAAACTGCATGGCACATGGGACTGCACAAAGGGTGCTCGCTGGTGCCATTTGCTGTTGCTGTATGTGCACTCATTCCACACGGCCAAGGTAGTTCCAGATAGGTTAGGAGCGGAGTCGTAGCTTGTCCTCCTGTACCGTCCCTCGCATCACACAACAAATCCGAACATTATCCCCATTCTCGTAGGCTTTGTATCTGCACGAGAAACGACCATCATTGTTGACAGCGATACTGCTTATGTGGCGAGAGTTGGTCTGTTGTTTCGTTGCTTCGTACTTCTTGTCGTGGAACGTCTGTATGGGTGTGCTGCCGCCTTGGGCACCAACGTCGACAAGGTCCCTTGAAGAATCCCAACTGGTGGTTCATGTAGCTCACGTTTTTTCTCGAATTCAGGCGAAACGAGCGACATGTTTCAAGAGTTGTTGACTCTGGATTGTTTCTTCTCGATACACAGCATTGGATTGATCATCTACGCAAAGTTGTCTTGTCATACCATGGTTGCGGTGTAGAAACCAAGTCAGTTCCTCATATTGTAGCCATCCGGTGACCGAACGCCTGCTTACCGGACTGTAGCATACAAACCTGAGGGGGCGCCGGCGACTCGCGACCTGAGTGGGTGTCGTCGCCACCAAAATTCAACATCACGATCAAACATGCATGACCCGTTGCTGCCGGTAGGCCCACAATGAACCCGTTCTACAGGAACACCCAGTTTTGTTGCGGTGAGTGTGTTTTCCGATACGTGGAGCCTCGGCGTGCCTTAGCAGGCACCGTGGTTAGCGTGCGAAAGACTTGTGATTTTCCGTTGTACCTTGTATCAATCTCTTCGTCGACAACAGAGAGAATATACCCTTTCTGTGTTACGAGTAAGGGTCCCTGACGGGGTGATTAACCGTTCACCAGCGGAGTTATTTCGCTCTTGTTGCAATGTGGCGAAGAATGGCCAAGCGTGGCCGACGTTGGTCGGCCGTGCTAGTTTGGGGTCAAATATGAGAGTGAGCCTCGGGGGCACCCTTCACTTACTCGTGATTCCTCCGGCTGGTCACAGCAGGCGGAGCATCTTCTTTGTAGACACCTTCTGACCCAGAGAACATTGTTCGTAGGGGTTCGGTCTTTGCAGGTTGTACGTGCGTCGCTACCACTACGAAGATACCTATATCCTGGTTTCCACATTATATAATCCATTTCCATATCATATCATCCGTTGTGTAATACTCCCTGCCGCACTGAACTTTCCCGCCTGTCCGAGTGCACGACCGCTGTCAAGTTGCACGCAATGGCACACACGAAAAATCTAATCTAGTCTAGCCCTGTCCGTCAAAACGACTGCCTCTTACAAAATACGACGCGTCCATGCAACCGCACGTTCGAGGACCATTCACAATAAAAGAAGAAAGAACAAAACTCTTCTGCCAAACTTTGGGAACACGCCAGCCTCTATTCTAACACATGCGCGACAGCTTTCCCTTTGTGCTGCGTCCATGCAGGCGTCAATTCATAGCAAACATGCGCTTCAACTCTCCAAAAACACGCCGTTACCCACTCAATTCTATCAAGCAAAATACCCTCACACATATCTACTAGGATCTCGGAAGCTGCCCGAACCTCCACAAACATCAGTACAAACCCCCCAACAATCTACAGTACACCGCCGGGCAGGCTAGTGCCCCAAAACCTCTGGCTTGCGCTAGAACTCCATCAAAATCTTTTCACATTTGGAGGGGTGAAACAGAAGAGGTGATCTTACCAGGAGGAGCGGATAGATCATAACTATGCGACCCGCGTCGCCAGAATAAAGTCACCCTACCTAGGGCGGCGGCAGCGGCAGCGGCAGCAGCCGCAGCGCGGATTTCTCTGTTCTTTTACTTTTCGAGGCAATACCAGCGCTCGCAACCTGCCCTACCATTCTACATCTAGTTTACGCGCTCAATGAAGGACGTGTCCTCAAGCTGCGTGTTTCGCGTCGGCGGTCCTTAAACCGTGTAAGTGTCCCGCCTCAAATTCCCAGTGCAGTCTACGTCCCTCACCAAGCATTGTATCTAAGTACAACTCGATGCAGCTCTATCAACGAAACCAACCACAAAAACCAACCGGTCAACACGGAACATATCTGCTGTAGGAGCTGCGCTCCTGCAATATACCGCATTCAAAAACCATGGTGTTGTATATATAGTAGAGGACGATTCTGTAAATCAAGGTTACAACCACAGTTAAACAAACGCAGACACGCATCGCCTACGACACATGTAGGCTAAACAACATCGAGTTTTCCGGTGGCAGCGTTTCCAGTCCTAAAGGAACTCCCACATTACGAACTCCCGCATTACGACGCCAGCAGACTACAGCAGTGCCGCCGAGGGAGAAAACAAGGTCGGTCCTCAGTCACCGCCGTCTGTTGTCTGTTCGTGGGTCACCTGAGGTCAAATGGTTGGGGAAGTCGAAGAAAGCACGGACGGAATCTTCAAACGGGTTGGACTCAAAAAGCACAATCGTGTACCGCACTGAAGCACCGTCACCCGCACTCACACCCGCGCCTGACAGGGGGTGATTCAAGTCCAAGGGTATGCGCCTCAGCATCGTATACACTAGCGTCTAGACATCCGCGTGCTGCGGAGTTGAAGCTGAGGCCCAGGCTGGACACTTTGAAGTGTTTTTTGTCCTGAGACCCTGGGTACTCTCGGCCAGAGTATGGGTGACGGAAGGACTCGTGGACCCTGGAACATTCTGCAGGATGTGGGTGGCGAGCGAAATGAACGAAATAAAGACTGGACGGATAGTAGCGCTGGTAAGGGGAGTCACCCTCCTCGGAGGTGAAAGTGACAGGGCTCACGAACCCCACGACTAACTTTTATAGAAGCCGAAACCAAACCATTAGACTAGTCAGTGACGAGTCTAATTATTATAGTCAATGGTTTGATTTCGGCTTCTTTATGCGGGCGTGAAAAATATCCCCACCTACACGTAGACCCCGCAAAGAATGTTCGAAAGAAAGGTGGCACCGCGCACGCTGGGGGCGCTTCCGTTGTCAACGGCCGGCGCTCTACTGGCGCAGGACTAGCTCTCGGTTGGTGGTGCTGCAACATACTTTCAAGCTATTTAGAAGCGCGTGGTAGCATTCCCACGCGTCCAAACTAGTACGCACGACGTGCGATGTATGCTACTTGACCGTATTCCATGTACATGAAAGCCCTTTTCCGGTGAAACCCAAGCCTCAATCGTCACGTTCAACCTCAAGGTTGGCGTTGAAGCCCCCCAACCAGCTCCATCTTCCTTAGCACTCACACCATCCTCGACCCCGGGGAATGGTCGACTTGGAGAAAAATACCAGCTGCCAGTAGAGCTCTTCAGTCCACTAACGGCCACACGCGTGCGTTTCCCCGACATTTCAAGCATCCGCAGATTACAAACGTGTTCGGCACTGGGGGCTGCTGAGAATCGCGCGTGGCGCGACCTCTTCCTGCTCCTCTCCAGTTTATGCTTGAAGAGCGTCCCGCCCCCTTTCGTGTTTTCTTCTTTTTGTGTCTGGGGTCCAGCTCGAGTCTGTAGTACTTTGCATTTTGTCACCTTATCAAAAAACTTACCCATCAGGTTTGTTCTGCATTCATCTGTGTTGTTTACCTGGCCCTCTTGCTTGTCACTATGGGCTGGATGCCGTTATGAGCTACCGGTGTAATGAAGAAATAGAATAAGACAACTATTTGTGGTCATTACTCTAGGATACAGCTGCACGCTGCCCACGGCAGTAGATGCTGTGCTTTGCCCGCCACAATGCGCCCTTACTGCTCGTGAAGGAAGGGGCTCGGGATCCCGCAACTACGGGGTGCATCTTTTCGGACGCACATTGTTGCCACAAACTGAAGTGCCCCCTTCGCCCACCCCATTGGTTGTGACGGGTGCACACAGCCACGCACGCCTTACCCTCAACTCGCCAAATGGTGTGTATAGTTCTGGACCCGCACTCATCAGAGGATAGTGCGCCTTCCGCGCCCATCCTTGACAGCACCGTGGGTGCCCGTTGTTGATATTCGGGTTAATGAGCCTGGCACGCGCCTGCACTATCGTGGGCCCCTGGCTGTATTTTGGCATCAACAGAAGAAACGCACCGCTGTAAGGCAGCTCGAACAACAAAGGAACACCCGCGCCCCGCTCACCTGCCAAAAACAAGATGATCACAGCTGCCGTGACGAGAGATATCAAAACCACCGCCACCAGCTGGCATCTCTTTATCTGCTTGCTCGCGTGGCTCTCGGGCCTGCGAATCCAGGAAGGGATCACGCCGACAAATTCGCGAATTAATATTTAGACTATTTTCGACAAAGGAAGAAATGGTGCAGAGGTACGATCGGTGCGAAAAGTGAGTATAATAGCTCATATGCATACATGCGCCAAACACCCACGGAAGGAAGTGTTCGAAAGGTGAGAAAGTTGTTGAGCAACCCGATTCCTTATTAAGGGGCGGGGTGACACAAGAAGGCAGAGAGATAGGCCGCAAACCAGGGTGTCGGGCGACCACCACGAACCCACGACGAGTTACGCTCCAGGTCCGATAAACGTTCGATTTGCCCATTGCCCACAGCCAAACCCTGCCTTCACAGACATGTGGTATCCACGGGTAGTGTTTGCAATGTATGGAGACGAAGACTACAAGTATGCATATCCGTGAAAGAGATGCGCACTAAACGACGATTTTCCAGGTCCCACAGGCAGCCAGTGGTACATGAAGTACTGTGTGCGTACTATACGACGGGCATCCGCGTCAATGTCGTAGTTAGATGATGAAGCACTTCCAGCAGTACTCGGAGTAGAAGAGTAGAGCGGCGTGTGTACGTACTGCTGTATGCACATCCATACAGTGTACGCGCACCTACGTTCTTTCGGAATAAAAATATAAAAATGTAGTTTGCAGGGAGGGGCTTGCTCACAGCTGAAGGCTATCCAAACAACCAGTGCCGGCGATTGACCGATCGAGCGATGGAACAATACATACACTAACCAAATGAGGCAACTTGCGTGGAGCTGCCAACCGCATAAAACTCGTTATACGAGTTCCAACGCGAGGAGGTGAAGTTGAACCCGGTGTACGTGCCCTCCGGAACACTATCTATAATAATACATGTTCAGGCATGCACCACACCTGAACATGCATGTGAATGGCACAACCAACGCTCTAATGATAGGTCTCGTCTTACCGCTGCTGCGTTTGGCTCGGCAGAAGCTTCGTCTTCTCCCCAGGCGTCCTCTGGAGAACAACTGGAGCCTTGAGGAACACGATGCTGGGGCTGCCTGGAACGGGTGTCCTACAACTGCCGCTGCTGCGCGTGCGCTCCCGTTGCGGTGCTTTCGGCGTCTCCAAATCCACGCTATCATGGCCGTTCCACAACGAGAACGTCATGAAGCTACGCCCTGGGCTCTGAGGCTTGTTAGTAGCAGTCGCGCAGTCACCCAGCAAACGTCTCAGAGCTGGCAGGCAGAGCAGGTCCAAGGTTCAGTTCAAGGCGCTGGCGATGATCCGGCGGTCTGCACTGACTCTCCCCCGGAAAAACATTTCACGGGTCCCCCCTTGGCGCTCGACTCGGCCCTTGTCAGGTCTGTGGTGGGTGCTATGTTCTGGGCATTGATATCTCAAGGAGTGCGTCCGCGAGAACACAACTCCAACCAAAACAAAATGGGGACAACTCACCTTTTTCAGCAGCTGGGGATTTTGGCGTGCTCGGGATTGTTGTTCCTTGCTGCAGCCTTGCCAACAACGCCGCAGCAGTTATCCCATGAGGCGCCCAACACAAGCGGAGGAATACCAAGGTCGTTTGTTGAAGAGCGAACCATCGACCGCGGCGTGGTAAAGTACGCGAGCGGGGCAGGCAGGTCTACGGCGGGGTGGACCGTAGGAGCGGAAGAAGATTCCTCCGATATGCGTGCGCTGTTCAAGGTGGGTGTTGCAGTCGAAAGGTATGCTCTTGGTTGCTGGTGATCCAGCAGTATAGTCTAAATAGGTCTGGTGTCGAGTTGATGTGCATTTACAAACACCAACCAGGTGTACAATAGTGTACAGCGTAATTCGCAGCAGTAGACACAAATAACTACGGCAGCCTAGAGAGATTATGCGTGAAGCTACTCCTGTTTGGGTGAGCAGCTTCACCACTTTTAAGCACCGCCGTGTAGACTAAGCGGTGTGCGTCTACATATCCACCCTCGACACTACCCCTGGCTTTCACCTAGACTCCCATGAAGGTTTGAAAATGTGGCGATCCGACAGGAACCCGCGGTTCATGCCTGCTCGCCTTGCTATCGCTGAGAGACGAGTTTTAACGCGTGTGTGCAGCGAGAGGCACATGGTTTCGGATTTGCACCTGTTCACCGCTGTGCCTGGGATCATGGTGACTATTGTATTAGAATGGGCAGACGGGTGATATTTCCTGTTGGAAAAACTCATGTACATCAACAAAAAATCTGGCCATTGATCATGCGAAGCGAATAATTTTCTTCGGGCTCTCCAAACTCCAGATGGAAGAGAATGCGTGCGTCGCTGTTGCGGTGTGTTTTGACATTGGCACTCACAGAGTGTACCGTGGGGTAAAGACATGGAACGCTTGTTCGTATAACCGCCACACTCCTCTGACAAAGTTGAGTCATCCATTAGAAAGGGCACACGGAGAGATGCTTTCCGATCGGACTAGCCAAGAGCGAGGGAGAGATGGCAACGATTCGCGTTGATAAGAGCATCGTAGAGCAATCAATACCCCGGAAAGCATTCGAAGTAGGTGCACTGCACCTCGCCATCCACCCATGAAGGTTAATTGCGGCACTGACCAAATGGCATTGTTGACACTGCTGTGGTACTGCTGAAAAGGGCGGCGGGGGGGTCAAATGTAGAGCTCTTCATCCAGCGGAACCCCCAAGAGGACAAGCCTGTCAGTAGGCTCATCAGGGAGGCTAAACGACCGCAGGGCTTCGCTCGCCAAGTGGTTTTCGGCCATCTCGTGACCACCAGCAGCACAGCAACGGGGGATCCTATCCACTACTGCTGCTGCTGTCCCGAGCAGGAGTTTGAGAGTTTCAGCAGTAGCTCAGACCTTAGGGCGTATATTAACGAAGTGCCGAAAATCAAAATCGAGATTTGATTGGTCGAATATCTGCTACCTCCTGACGACGCCCTTTGATTTATGGAAGTTCCTCTGTCTGGGAAGAAGTCGCCGGGGCACTTTTTTTATCAAAATCAAAATCAAAGAGGAGAGGAGTTCAAGACTTCCAAGGCTTGGAGCACCTGCCGCGAGGCCGCTGCAAAGCAAGTGTACGACACGACCTGCTGCACACTGCTCAAAGAGGGGCTATCGGCACCCTACCACCGACACCATGGCCGTTATTTGTAGCCAGAAGACTCTGCTCGCCGGCAAGCCACAAAACAGGCCGGCTCGTTGGGTGCTCGAGGAGAAAATGCCGATCGTGACAAGCGGTGAACGGACTGACGATCAGAACAGGGCTGCGCGGCTTTTTCGGGCTGTTCCGTGCGGGAGAGGGTAGTTGCAACCTTTTTTCTCCACACTCACAATACCCAAAGGCATCTAACCTTGTACGAGACAGATGGTGGGTAAAGCTAACTCCCGTCGCGTGGCATTGCTAATGCTGTTGCTTCCTCCTTCGAAGAGTTATCGCTGAAAAACTAAACTGTGAGCAGACATTCGGCGCGAACTTGAACTATCCGCTCTCTGACGTGGATTTTTTAGGGTCAACCAAAACTTTTTTCCCTACACGCACGATACCCCACGGTAGCAGATCTTGGGCTTGAAAGATGGAGCAGGGACGTACCTCCTGCCGCGTGGCGTTGCTGTTGCTGTTGCTTCCTTCTTCGGAAAGTTATCGGTGGATATCACAACCCGTGGCGGCCCAAAACACCCAACTTGAAGTGACCGCTCGCAACTGTTGGCATTTTTGCTTCAACACAACCTTTTTTTTCCGGCGCATTCGGCACCTCACGGCCCCAAAACTTGGCATTTCCCAACAGCCCATGTCTCCAGCTCCTTCCGGATACCTTTCTTGAGGCAACTCGTTGAGTATTTGGCGAGATATCGGCTAACACGTGAACAGAAGAGTGTAAAAAGCACCCTAGAAAAATCACCGCTGCGCTGCTGGCTCTTCCCCTGGCGCCAGGTCTTTTTTTATTTTTCGCCTCATCTGTCTCCTATCCTCGTTAACCTACACGACCCTCTTTTTTCAGTTTTCCACGATAACGCATTTTGATTTTGATTTTGTGCCCATTTGGATTTTGATTTTCGGCTCTTCGTTAATATACGCCCTTACAGACTTGCTGCCGTCCTTTGGCTTGGGGTTTTGTGAATCAACCCCGGAGAAGTACGTGTGTACCCATGTTGCGATGCTGATTCACATCCGCTCTGGTGATCCTAGGGGTTCTAAACACCGATAACTGCTGTGCATGGTCTCTGAACGAACCAAGTGGTCTTAGGTGACGACACCATCGACAGCTTTTGAGGATGAGTCGGCATGGTGTTGGTCCTCAGAAAAAAAATCATTGCGCAATGCCAACCGTAACCACGTGACCGCGGCGCTCTTTCACTGCGCACGGAGTAAACATCCCCTCCGACACACACACGCGCTTCCCCACAAAACCCGCAGATAAACCTGAGGCAGTGCAACCTCGATCGCCTGGAGGAGGAAGCCTTAGCCGTCTCGGACCTCGACTCTCCGCGCTACGGGCAGTACCTCTCGGCGAGAGAGGTGTGCAAGGTCACGTCCTGCCCCGACCGCGAGGAGGGAATCCGGGGGGTGTTGCAGTGGCTCCTGGGCGCGGTGACCCCCAGCGAGGGGGACGGGGAGGGGCTTCAGTGGGAGGAAGGGGAATGGCTAAGGCCGGAAGGGGGCGGGGATGACGTCATGGCGAAGGCAAGTGCCTTCCGGTGTTTTTCTCCCATCCGGCAGCGCGATTTTTGCCGCGGCCCTTGTTGTGAGAACCAGGCTCGATTCCAGACCGAGGGCAATTCGAAGCTCATGGTACTGAGACGATGACCCACAACAGTCACCCGGCACGCTCCCTCCCACCCGCACCCCCATCTCCTGGCCCCTCTTTCCGGGGGAGGTGTGTGCTCAATCCCCCTGTCTTCCATCTCGGCCGTCCCCCCATGTATATATGTACGTACCTCTTGCTGCTTTGTTTGGAGTCAGGTGTTTTGTTCGCACGTGGTGGTGTCCATGTCCGCAGCCAAGGCCGCCGAGATGTTTCCCGAGGCGGCCTTCCGCTCCCACCGCCGCGAGCGAGTCGGAAAACGCGGCGGAACCGGTGCCGTTCTGCGAGCCACGGGCGACGTCCTCCTCCCCGAGGCACTGGCCGTCCACGTGGAGTTCGTCTCGGGCTTGACCGAGCTCTGGGTGCCGGACGTGGCGGAGGGCGGTGGGATGGGAAAGCTTGATGGGGCCGGGGCCGGGCTGGGGCGATTCAGGTCGTCGAACGGAATGGAGGTGGGCGTGTGTTGGTGTGCGCGCGCGCGCGTTGGCGCCGCGGATGAGTCAATGGACTACATAGCCGAGGTTTTTTCTTTTTTGTGAGGTGGTCGTTGGTTTTTTTGAGAGCAGTAGAGCGTGTGGGGTGGGCGTCGGCTGGACGGTGCACTTTTTATTTTCGGTGTGTGCTGTTTCGACAGCTGAGGAAGTTAGCGCGTGGTTTTGCCGATTTTGCTGCCGAGGGAGGAAGGAGGTTTTTAGAGTATATGGTATCAGGTAGCATTACCCGTTTGAGTGATGGAGCGCTTGATGACCGCTCGAATATTCAATTCTGGTCCGCCTTAGGAAGAACGATGTGAGGCGTGTTTTTGTACCACTGTGGTGCCAAACTTTCACGCCCATATGCCCCCCCCCCCCCTCTGTGAGTATGTCGCGTTTATTTTTGTCGGGCTACCTCTTATTATGTGTTGTCTGTCTCTCGATTCCTACACCTCCCGGACCGTTCCCTTACATGGATCCAACGTGGTGCTGCTTTTTCAAGGAATGAACGCCTGTGCTGTCCGCCAATCTGTTGTGTGTCTCCCCTTTAGCCCGATGTCCGAAAGAGACTCCCGCCGCCCCCCCCCCCGTCGAAGGCGCAGGCCGGCGACTTCACGGAGGTGATGATCCAGCCGCGAACCCTCCGCTCCCTGTACGGCGTGCCCGAGGGCGAGCGCGGCGGCTGGGCCGGCCAGGGCAACAACCGGCAGGGTGTCGCCGCTTTCAACAATTCATACCTTCACGTGAGGATACAGTACGCGTCTTGACGTGTGCGTTCGGGTCTCGCGTTGGTGCGCCAGCATCGACAGGTTTTGATTGCCTTGGTTTGCTGCCCAATCAAAAAGATCCAAACGTTGTCACCACGATGCCGTGAGCATTGTTGGCTTGACTCGCCCGCTTCGGATTGCTCTCTACCCCTGAAATGTCCGACCGATCTCCAAACCTGTGTCTCTCTGTCGCTCTCTCCCTCTCTCCCTCTCCAATGTGTCGTTGTCTCCACGGCCCGAATAACCAGGCTGATCTGTGCGCTGCCCACAACCTTCTGGCCCCCGACTCCGATTGGTTGGCTCCTCCCGAGGTGACGGACCATGGTTCGAGGTTCGACCCGGAGACGGACGCGTCGGAGAGCGACTTGGACACGCAGTACATGACGCTCATGGGCCCCGGAGTTCCGGTAGGACTTCAGCGTTAGCGTTAACGTAGAGCTCCGCCGTGTTGCCTGTTTTCATTTTCCTTTTGTTGCGCTTCTTGTTCCTCGGGTTCTCTGTCTGTGTGTGTGTTGCTGTATCTTCCCCTCTCTTTGTTTGTTTTTCCCCTCTCTCGTTGAGTTTCCCCTCTGTCCTTCATTTTTTTCTCCGTCTGTCTTTTGCTGTCTCTCGCGTTTGTCGCTCGTGGTTTCCAAGGTGCGCCAGTAGTCACCTGCTTCTCCTCTTCTCTGCTCGCCCGCGGTTGTCTCGACCCAATTGACAGACAGAACCAGCTCTGCCTCATTTACCTGACGGTAGGGAACGTGGTTCGCCCTCCCCCCCTCCCACCACGCTGCCTTCTTCCATGTGAAATCCTAATCCCAGGTGACCTTTGCGACCTACGATGCGGGGGAGTGGGTCCTGGACTGGGCCACAGAGGCTACCGAAGGCCACCTCGTACCGGAGAGGGGAGGCCCGCTGGTAAGAGAAGTCGGCTCTGCTCATCGGCATACTGCCACGGTGTGCTGTAACTAAATAAGACACTTTGCTCTGTGTATTCATTCTTGTGGGTGAAATAGGATGAGCTGGGGTGAGCGGAGCGAGGTGGTATGCCAATGGGATTGAGCTCGTCCACGTCGTTAGCAAGCTGTGGCCGGAGTGCATGCGACGCTCAGGCATCGTATGGCGGGACGAACATACATACAACTCCGTGGTGACACCTGTTTTTTGTTTTTTTTTGTGATACTCGGGGGCGCTGTGCATGTGCAGTTTTGTAGCTGTGTGCGGTGGCAGTGACGTGCATCGCTACGCAGTGGCGAGTCGCGCTCTCTGTGTCTTTGCTGCCATAGCTCTCCTGGCGGATATGTATATATATTTATTTATTTTTCCCACGAGTCTGTGCTACAGCAGTGCGCAACCAATACTACTGCTTTACCGTGGATCTGGAATGACATTTAGCAGCCAAGCATGTTGTGGTGCCAAACGTTTGACGACAGGAACAAAAAATGAACATCAACGACAACAACGATTTGATTCGCAGCTGTTTTTCAAGTATCAAACGACGAGAAACCGTAGAACTGCAGATTGCACATTTTGTCCAGAACGCCCGAGGATCCAGCGATTTTACGCAGAAAATTGGAGCAGGACAGAGCATGCAAGAAGGACCCCGGCGACGGCACGAAAAAATTGTGCTTACAACGCCTTCGCCCTCATCCAGCATCCAGCACGACACATCGGTGTTATTTTTTCCATGACGCATTGAGTATTGAGTAGTAGCCCAGAAGCACGCTCTGCACGACTGAAAAATCAAGAAATTGACATGACTTTGAGTAATCTTGGTGTCGTCGTCGCAGGTGTGGTCGATCAGCTACGGGTTCCCGGAGGCGTGGACTTGCTACGCCGAGCCAGGGGTCTGCGACAACGAGGCCGGGGCGCCGCATGGGTACGATCCCTCCGTCTACCTCCACAGGGCCAACAACGAACTCAAGAAGCTGGCCGCCCTGGGTGTGAGTGAACTAACGAAGACGCACATCGTTTCACAAGAGTACAACAGCACGTGGTGTTGTTTGAAAATATTCATAAAAACACACAAGGACTATCTACCCGTTCGAGATACAACCGCAGCCGAAAGGGATGTGCTGAGGTCTTTTCAGTGAGTGGAGGGTGCAGTAGCGTGCATTTTCCACGTTTTCGTTTTTGATGTTCCGTGCTCCCTGACCTTGCGTCCACGAGGCAGGCAGGTTGACGGGTGGTGCTGGATCAAGTTGGTCCAGCATCTACCACTCCTCCCCAGGCGTTCGATTGAAGCCAAAAATTTTCTCGCCGTTGCGTGCTGGTTGGTTGGTGCATTACAGTAAGCGCATTGGGCCTACGCAGGGGTTCTTAGTTCCTAGGGTTGTGCTTTTGCTACAAATGGCCGCTTCATGTCGGTTTTCTTACCTGATCTCTTAAATCCTGCTCAAGTTCTTGGTTTTTTTCGAGGCAGTATCAATGCATTTCTTAACCGCCAAATTCTCACGTGCCGGCGCTAACTGTATGTATGTATGTATGTATGTATATATGTATGTATGTATGTATGTATGTATGTATGACAGGTGTCAGTGCTGGTCTCGAGCGGAGATGACGGCGCCGGTCAGTCGCCAACTTGCCCGGTGGACCCTAGGCTGCCGGTGGACGTGTCAGGCGGGGCCATCGAGGGGGTGGCGACGGCTTGCCCTTTCGACAAGAGGGAGGACTGCAGCTGCGGGTCTTTCGAGATGAAGCTCCAGGCGTGAGTGGTTCGTCGTGGTCGATCTTTGGGTGGAATGCTGAACTGGGGTGGTTTCTTAAGTATGTCCGTGGTTGACTGTTTTGATGCTTTGTATTGGATCCCTCCTCATCTCTCTCTCTCTCTCTCTCTCTCTCTCTCTCTCTCTCTCTCTCTCTCTCTCTCTCTCTCTCTCTTTCTCTCTTTCTCTCTCTATCTCCCTCTCTGTCTGTCTGTCTGTCTGACTGTCTGTGTGTCTTTGTGCCTCTCTCTACCTTTTCTCTCTCGCTGTCCCCGTCACCTCGCGCCCCCTGGTAGAAACTCAACGACGTCGAGGTGCATCCTTCCGCTGGGGATCACGGTCGCGGCCATGGGGGTAGACACGCCAGGAGCGTCGTGTGTTGACGTGCTCGCCGCGCCGGACTGTCAAACCTTGCTCACCAAGATCGAGAACGGCACGCTACCGCAATCGGTAAGAAGCTCCTTCTTCTACGTTTTCTTTCTACACGCGGATGATACAACTTTGTTCCGGTAACCCTCGTATGTATACTGTGAAAAGATGGAATCGTCAATCGTCCTCGACAGACGTTGTGAGATTGTAGCCTTTACGAAGGTGATTACACTTTTTCGTAACATTGAACGTTGCTCTCTCTCATTGGCCAGCTATATGGCTGCTTTCTACGGCGGTGTGAGTGCCGATGGTTGTGTGTTGTCGTTGCATGGTTGGCGTTATTTATCGAGTAAGCCTTGTTGGTCTGTTTGCACTCTGCCTTGGCTGCCGGTTGAACTACTACCTCGGTGACCGGCAGCGCCGCAACTCCCTAATTTTCTGCATGTGTGGGCAGCACTCCAAGAGGACCCTCCACCACGAAATTTATGCCAACTCAGCACAAAATGTCTTGCTTGTGCGATACCCGAGCCATCGACACACGAACGACCGATCGCAACGACCGCAGGACGAGCAAAGCACGGCCAGCTCCGCCGGCTCCGAGTGTCAGGTGGCCTTCGAAATCGCCAGGCCGTCGTTCTACAGCGACTGCGAGTGCGCCGACGTGCCTCCGATGACGGAGGGCTCTTGCTCCCTGTCGGGCTACACCTACCAGCCGGAGAAGGACGGGGCGACGCCGTTTGCCCCCAGCTTTCCGGCGAGCAGCCCTTGGGTCACCTCGATTGGAGCCACCCAGGTAGGCGTGTATGTACATGCGTTTCATTTTTTAGTCCCCCCCTTGCGGATGTGAAACGTTTGGTTTGCCCAATCACCCGATGGCATGTCTGGTCTGGCAAAGCAAACGCACGGATGATGCCCAGCTTCTGGTTCACCCTTGTGAAACGTAGCCTGACCCGGCGTACCGCTCCGTCCCGGCATGGTAAACTACTCCGGCATGCGTTTGCATGACCGACACGCCTGCCCTCCCCTCCCGGCGTGTTTTTTTTTTGTCCCGGGCCTACAAATATCGTGCCTACAAGTATCTTACAGCAAGTGATTCCTTATCTGATGGCAACAAGGATTGCTTCAATGAGTTGACCTTCTAAATAGGATTCATTCGCTCAAGAACAACAACTCATCGAAACGGGAACTGTTGAAATCGTCATGAAGCCCTGAACGCGCGCGAAGTTTTTTTTTTTTCATGAACCAAGAAGCAAAACTTCTCTGTCCGTGGTACCTTCTTCGCGCGCGTCGCACACGTCCAATTGCCGTCTCTTACCTGTAGCCTGCCAACGGATACTTTTCGTGCGTGCCTCCCGTTGGCGTGTCGGTTCTGCTGTTGGTGCATACAGGTTGCTTGGGACCTCGCAGGGTCGTGCCTCCAGTCGGATCTTCTCGGTCCGGGCAACTCCATTGCTGCCGAGGTGACTGGGAAGGAAAAACTACAAGAAGAGTCGCCTTTACTTGGTTGTAGAATATTGTAGGGAGTTCGACGATAACCTTGATGTATCATAGACGGCAGCAAATGCTTGGTTTCGCTGTCGTCGTCGAGAATTTTCGTGTGTCTGTGTGTAGTGTTGGATACACACCGTGGTCGTTCGTTAGTGCTGTATCTTGCCGCTATCGTTGCGGTGGGTTCTGTGACTGGACTGGCTAGTGTGTTGTCGGCGTCACCGCCTCCGCAGGCCGTGCATGCTCCTCGTGTGCCCACGATTTTTTGTGGTTTGTTCGATGATGATATATATCGATGATGCTCACGCTGAACCCGACAGACACTAGTATAGTACTGGTGACGGGAGGCAATGGAACCGAGTGTGTGTACATTATCACGTACCGGCGGCTGCGGCGTCGCCCCTGCCTCTTCTCTATCTCTATCTCTGACGTTGTCCGTGGTACCTACGCGAAGGTTGTCCTGATGCAAGCAAGACGACGCTGGTTGTGTGGCGCTGTCATCCCTTCCGCTCCTGCTGCTGCTGCTGCTGGCGGTTCCACCGCCGCCACTCAGTGAACCCACCATCCATTCACTCCCTCACTCACTCACTCACTCCCGCACTCCCTTACACACTCACTCACCCACTCTGTCACTCGCTCGTTCATTCGCTTACTCTGTCCCTCGCTCATGTATTCGCTCACTCCTCGCAGACGGCCGTAAACAAGTTCACCGGAGGCTTTGACGGCGGCGGCGGGTTCTCGACGACCTTCGGCGCTCCAAGCTATCAGGCCGCCCACACCCAGAGATACGCCGCCTCCAAAGCAGCGCCCGACGCTGCGCTATTCAACAGCACCAACAGGTATGATGTCTACTGCTGTAGGTCACCTTGCTACGACTGCTGCATCAAGCAAAACTGCAGCATGATATATTTGGCATGGCTTTTGCGGAGAGGGTCTGGGGTTAGGGATAGGGTAGGGTTTGGGGATTTAATTGAGAGGTTCTTCTTTCCATGAACCAAAACGAAATTTTGCTTCCTTTCCATGAGAGGCAAGCGCACGAGGTAGCATGTGTACGATGGCAGGAGTAGTGACATTTATTGCCTCAAATTGTAAAGAATTAACCAACTGGCAAGACTTTTTGCAAAGCGCGGAGGGCTGCACCGGGACACGGCAGTGAAAACCTTAAGGTTAGCGTTCCGATAGCTCGTTGTGTTCAAAACGTAAACGTTCCGCTACCGTGTGCAGCAACATACCGAGTGCAAACAGACATGATGCTGGTCCACACGTTTTCACACCGACATATGTGCAGCCAATCGAGGGGTTGTGGCCACCGGCTCGATTTTCATCGTTTCCAACGAAAAGACCAAAAAAGGAAAAGACCGAAAACCCTTGCAACTGAAAATAACATCACAGGGGGTTTCCGGACATCTCGGCGGTGGGTCACAACTTCGTGGTGGTGATCGACGGCAGGGTGGAGCAGGTCGGGGGCACGTCCGCCTCGGCCCCCGCCCTCGCGGGTATGGTGTCCCTCATGAACGAACGCCTTCTGGCCGCGGGGAAACCCCCTCTCGGGTGAGACGGAAAAGGGAGTTAGAGGGGGGGTGGTAATGTTTTGCATGCCTTAGCTGTTAGCCTATTGACCTCGAGAGGACGGAGCTTTGTTGCCGTAGGACCGATTCACTGATGGCCAACCTTTCCTTCCTGCTTCGCCAAAGGTGTCTCAAGAATGTTTTCCCTGTCCTATTTGTCCTGTCGATATCACGAAGTTAGGAGTGGAGGGATTCGTTGTCGTGAAATGTCTTTCGTGATGGGGGCTTCCGTGCAACTGGCGGAGGAGACGGGGATAGGTTGGATTGTGGTTGTTGCCATGGGTTGGAAGTTGAGAAGTATCCCACCCGGACGGTTTGTTTTATTTTTTCTTAGTAGTATGACACAACGAATCCATCCATCTTCTATCCATAGAGGAGAGTCTAATATAGGTTAGCAATGAATCCATTGCGTCAGTGGAAGCGACCTGTGTTTCCACGAGTTCCCGAGCGCAGCATGCAGCAATTTGTCATCGGCCTGCTGCTGGAAAATGGTTTGCTGTCTCTGATGTCCCTCAAGCGCTGTAGGTTTTTGCCTCCTCGTTGTTGCGCTTGGAAGCGTCTCCGCGGGGTGAGAGAACTCGTGATTAACACTTACCATTTTCCTCGGTGACAGTTTCCGTGGTGTACCCGGTGCAAGAGCATAGGAGGCATAGGCGATTGTACCGTTAGCGTACCAACTATACGTAGGTCTCTATCCCGTTTGCCGGCCACGTTGCCTGCGACATGCGATTGTCTAGGCTCCTGTGTCTACTCTTTTTTGTGCGTGTCCATTGGCTGATATGCATATTCTGGGTCTATTTTGATTTTTTCTACATGTGCGTTGTTGGGCTGTTGGACTGATGTGAACACGGAAGGTGTCCGCATTAGTTGGCCCAAACGCCCGTTTACAAGACGTTGAGCAGATATTGGGGTGGTCTTTTTTGTGTACCACAACAATGTGACCACAGGCATGTTCGTTCTCTTGCCAGTCTCGGTCCCTCTCTCTCCCACGTACAACTTATCTGTGATTGCCGACCCATAATAGTAACAAACATCCGGCCTGTTTGACGGTTGTCATGCTTTGGTTCTATTGGCTTTCCCCTCTTCAGGTTCTTAAACCCGGCGTTGTACAAAGCGGCTGAAGATAGCTCGTCCGCCTTTCAGGAGATTCTGCCCAAGACGTACAACTTCACGGGCACCCCGCTAGAGAAGACGGTCGGCGCTAATTATCAGGTCCGTCGCACGTTTTGTTCGATTCCCTCCCGTCTTGTTTCAAGTTAACCCTCGAATCCCTCCCCTCTACCACTGTTATAATTTACCAAGCTGACCCTCTCTTGAGGTCGTCATTAGCTAGCCATCGCTGATGTTCTTCACTCCATTGTCGCTTCACGCCGTGTTGCCTCGACCTTGGCCACGTGACGCTTGCCGAATAGGTCCGTGTTTCACTTTTTTGCTATTTAGATGAAGACTCTCAGCACTATTGAGACGCTTCGACTGCTGTCTTGTCTGGTCTCTTTGAGTATCTCCCCGACCCTTCGACCACACACACGCGCCGCAACCATCCCGTCCCCGCCCACTCCAGGTCGGAAGCAACAAATGCAGCAGGTACAGCTGCTGCGAGCTAGGCTACGGCGGCTCCGAAACCGGTGGCTGGGACCCCGTGACCGGTCTCGGCACCATCAACTACCAGGTAAGGCTCGATTTTTTTCGTTCCTTGTGCTGTCTTCGGTAGGGTGGAGCGTTATACGCATGCTCACCGCGTTGTTCTGCGCGGGCCATGGCGAAGTCTCATCGTTGTGTTTTTTTTTTTTTTGCCGGTACTGTAGAGCTTTGCCGAACGCCGCCTGTGCGTTCTTGCTAACGCTGCCGCATCATGTTGCTGCCCCTCCCACCCCCTCCTTCTCTTTGGCAACAGGCCTTGTCCGACTTCCTCAACATTCCGCGGAGCCCCCCCCGCCCCCAGCCCCGAGGCGGCGGCCACGACCGGCACCACGCGGCCTACATCGCCTGGATCGTGGTGCTGGTGTTCGGCTTGATCGCCGCCACCCTCCTCCTCGTCCACGAGCACAGGCCGAAGCTCATGCTCTCCGCGGCTACCCTGGGCCGCAGCATGAGGAACATGGGCGGCGGAGTCGGCGGAGGCGGCGGCGGTGGCGGCGGCGGCAGCCTCGACGAGTACGAGGCCTATGAGGCCTACGAGCGCAGCGGCGGCGGCGGCGGCGGCGGCGGGTGGGGCGGAAGCGGTGGTGGTAGCAGGTCGCGCGGCGCCCTGACCGAGATGGTGATGGGGAGCGACGCTTCGGTGGCGGGAGACGCGTCGTACCACCTACTCGAGGAACATGACGACCCCGCGGACGATGACGATGGCGGCGGCAGCGACATGGGGCGGGAGGGGCGGCGGGACTTGGCCGGCAGCGCACGCCGCAGCGTGTAGTAGCGTGTGGCTTGTTCGTTTTGTTTGTACCCCCCGCGCTGGTTCGGTTCCGGCCTGTGTGACCTGCTGCAAGGAGGGAGGCGGCCAGTGTGTTGTAGTTTTGTTTATAAACACGGAGTTCTTGTTCTGTCTTTTGTCGCGAAGTTCTTTTTTGTGTTTTGTCGGAAGAACGTTGTTGTGCTGGTGTTTTTTTTGTGCACCTTCCTTCTCTCTGTGAGCGCATCAGCGTCATGCTGTTTTGATGCGCTTTGGAGTGGTTTTGAGTCGGTAAGGTGCGTATGTAGTGTAGTCTGCATGATCTCTCATGTGTTCCGGAGGGAACGTCTGCTGCGTTATTTGTTGCTGTTGTTCAAGAATGTGTGTCGTTGCAAGAAACATGGATGGGAGGAATTGGGAAATTACGGTTTTTTCGAATTTCCCCGTACGTTGCCTGACGCCAAATTTGTATCGGGCGACGAATTTCCTTCAGCATGTCGGGGGTTGTAGTTCGAGAGAGCGCTGAAAGGAGGAGGAGGGGGGGTGTAGCGCGCGATGCCCGGGGATACACGCGATGCTCGGCGATCACGCGTGCGCGGTTTGCTGACTTCGCGGTGATCGGCATTTCCCTAGCATTGTACATAAGAGTTTGATAGCAACCCTCATCAGAGGGAAGATGAACAAGATTGCGGGAGGGTATTTTTGTTTTTTCATGGATTCCTGCAACATGCGAGGGTGGTGCTTGCATTTTTATTTTGAGTGTGTCCTTGGAAAATTTGAGGGTAAAGCAGGCACTGATGGTGGTACCCCGTTCCAACGATGATCTGGGTCTTCCGGCTCCCAAACGCAACCTGCCGCGACTTTACGGCCTTCCTAGGCGTGCTTCCCCCGAAACCTCAGGCTGTGGCTAATGGTCGACAGCCATTCGCCTTCTTGGACCCGATAATAAAATGACTCGTTCCTTTTACCTACTTCCGGTTATAGGAGAAAACTGAAAATATTGAAACAATCCGTTTTAACCTACAGCTATGTCCCATGAAGCAAGTACTACAGATTTGGGAGATGGCGGCTCCAGGGAGCGGACAGTTACCCCAGGTGTGTGTGTGGCCAGGGGTCCACTACTACTGCCGTACGTGATGGTTCGAAGAACACACAGGACAGACTGTCGGTTAGTTTTCTCACATTCTGGAGCTTGTTCTTCAAGTCTTCTCGGGTCAACACCCGTGGAAATTTCGTTCGATACCCTCGTCCTTGCCCGACCCGATCTCACATGCCGATCTCGAGCTACACGTAGAGAGTGCACACAGCCTTACATAGCCTTCCGGTATGCTTACGAGGCCCGGCGCAGGTTTTTCCATGCGATGCAGCCTCTTGATTCATTCTACCGGGGTAGGTGAGACTTGCTGGAAAAAGATATTGGACAAGTCATGGTCCTATCCTTGATTGCTGTACAGTACTGTAGTTCCTTCTCCTTTCCCTCATCGATGACGAAGTCGAATTCGGTGTGTAGCATACGTATGTGCACTTTGGTAACCTACTGCTGTACCGACTGAATTTCTGAGTCGTTCTTCTCCACCTATCTCTCTACACCTGTGCGAGCTGCTGTGCGAGAAGATCCCAGGTCGTGAAACTGCACCGAATTCATCTACAAACTATTGAATGAATTGCTGTTGCGAGTTGCGAGGTAAAACAACGGGAATCACCCACACCCCTGGCTACATACCTGTAATCCTCACACAGCATTCTCAGTGGACAACTACCCAACTACCCTGTGGGCAAAGAGGTTTGACGGGACAGCAGCGTGGCAAATCGGCGGCGGGACAACTGAAAAAACAACGGGTTCCGAATCTCTCTGCGGTCGGAAGATATTTGGTTCTCATCTAATCTGTTGACAGGCCCCGAGAGTCCGAGAGTCTACTCGCGAACCAACGAAAGTACACGCAAACTGGCTTTGCAACTACAGCAGTGTACAAGGATCCACACGTTTTGTCGTTTTATCCTCCCCCCCAGCTACCACACCCGTTTGATTTCCTCTTCATTCCGACCTGTTTCGAAGGGCACCTAGGATCATGGCTTGCGAAATCACCGACCTCGAAACGTTCGCGGCATGCATGGAAGACAAAGTCAGCGTCCAGGAGATCAGCGTCAACACGTTTTGGCTCATGTAAGCAAAATCAATCAACGTATCAGTTCAGTTCAGTTCAACGACAGCCAGCAACGTGACATGCCACAGAAGGAACGGCACACGTGCTTGCCCGCTGTTCAGCACGCCCCTTGGTGTCCGACGCACGCACACACGCACAACGCACGCACACACGCACACATCCGCGGGTCTTTTACTTCGGGCGTCGGATATGCATATGTGTCTGGCAATTTGTTCGCTAATACACCCACCAGCTTGCCCACTAACAGCGTGTGTGTGTGTGTGTTGTTGCTGCTGTTGTTGTTACTGTTGTCGTCTTCATTAACTCGTGTCAGTTGCTATCCCAAAATCTAGCAAAGACGCGGTCCGTGGTCACCAAATTGCACATATTAGTAGTAGTATCTCGGCATCTCGGCCATTAGAAAAATTTCGGCATGGTGGTACAATGGCCGCCGCACGATCCAACGACAGCGTGTCACCGTCACGCTGTCAGCTCACATCGAAGGGGAATTGGGTGATGGAAATGAAGCGCGTGCATGCACGTTTGTAGCGCAACGCACGCATATATCAAACGCCCTCCACGTAGTTCGTTCTCTCCAGCTTCAATGATCTACAAACGATGATGTTGTATGAACGCGTAGTCTTCAGGTGCCTCTGTCAACATTTTTCCAATTGTTCTTTTTGAGCTCGGGCCCGATATGTACATACTCCTGTTGTCTCGCATGGTTTAATCATTCTGGTCATCATGTACCATATATGTCAAGATCCCCCTGCAAAGGCTGTGAGTAGCACAGTCGGTGGGCGGTGGGCGAAAGGTGTTTCGCGCTTTGGTAATGGAACGGGAATTCCATCTCGCCTGCAGCACGTGGCAGTTGAATTTTAAAAAAACGGTAACACATGAAAGTACAACAGGATTCACCGTTCATCATACAAGGGATTGCTGTACCCTTCTCGCGATAAAAGTATCTCAGGCAGGAACCGCAGGAGGGGGTCCAAACCCCCCCTCCTATGTGACCCCGGTTGGGTCGTCTAGCTAGTAGAAGTGGAGGATGGGGGCGAGAGGGGCAGACGACAGAGTCCAATGATGGGAGAAAAAAAAAAAAACATACATGCGCACCCCGAAAATACGAACAGGGAGCCCACAACCTATTTTCCTATTTTGATGTCGACTAATTTTGAAAGAAACCGGAAGAAACAACACCAGAAAATGCACAAAGACACAACAGACCAGTCGGAAGGCATGCGAAAAACAACATCGTTGATTCTCGCACTGGGCGGCAGTAGAGGCTGCTCAAAGCATGCATGTCATGAGTCTACCTCCACACGCCCCCTTTGAAATCAAGATAAAAAATTTACACCACTCAAATTCAAGTCAAAGCGCCAAACGGCAGGCAGGCGCAAAATAAGGTCAGTTTGCATTCTAACTGCACCTTAGTACTACTGATATCACTAGAGGACACCCTATTGCAGCGGGGAGGGTGTGTTGGCGTGCTCAGATCTGCTTCTGTGGTAGTTATTTATAGCAGCTACTGAGCTGTACAGAGTAGTTGTAATGGCCTACATATATAGACTACATAGACCGACACAAATTTTCTTGTACTACAACTGCTGGTGGTCGCCGCCAGAAGGGTGCAAAACGTGGAAATAAAGGTAGCCTCTGACGTTATGGATTCATTGCTAATCTGTCTTAGACTCTCAGATAGAGATGATGGATTCGTTGTGTCATATTAAGAACATAAAAAAAATAAAAAAGGAAGGAAGGATCTTCTTCCGCCCTCCCAAATTTCTGAATTAGTCTACAACGAATCCATGGATGCATACAAAAAAAGTCTGCAAGTGTAGATTATGTAGCCATGAGTCCATAGCGTCAATGGAAGCTACACCTACCTGTATTACTCCACAATTTCCCGTCTCCCCTGTCTTTCTTATTTTAGTTACTTACGGTTGATGGTTGCGCCAAACTCTAAATCGACCAATCAATTTGGAATGTATTCTAGCCTCGTTCGAAACCAGGACTTTGGGGTTCGTTGGGGCTGAAACAGATGTTGCTGTGTTGTGCCGCAGGATATGTTCATGTTTTACGGACGTGCTACAACACGTACAGCAGCAGTCGACTGCAGATACATCTACATATATACGAAGTATACCGAGATACCGATGACCCGGCAAAACTTAGCTTCATTAGCCGCCACAATGAATGGCCGTGTGTGTATTTATTATTAGCACCGACCTCGCTACTACCCGGCTGACCAATGAAAAGACGTCAGTCTCAGTGTAATTGAAAACACACAACACTTCTAAATGACATGAACTGGGACCCCGTGAGGGGGCGGCATGGGTGTGTACGTGGTTGGAAGTAGATTGGCCTTGAGACGTCTCTCTTTTTGAATAGCACTAGTTTGCGTGCTGCACTGCTGTAGGTTACATATTTTAACAGAACGAAAGGATTCCATTTGGTATTTCCTGTTTCACCCCCCCCCTTACCCCCCCCCGCGAGGGCCATGGGCTTGAGGACTACCCCATGCACCAATATAAAGTCCCCCCCCCCCCCCCCCCCCCCCCCCCCCCCCCC